TGGGGATATTTTGCTTCTGCAAATGCTTCTGAACATCAGGCTGAACTTGCATATTGTAACTTGAACAGAAATTAGGTTGTTACAAAAGTAATAAGATTTGGAGGAAGATTTTTTTTCCTGTGGGCAGATTATCCCATAGTCTCCTGCTGCAGAGTTTTTGCATCTTCCCTGTGAAACAGCACATGCTTGATTACCAGGAACAACAGGATTCTTCATTAAGTAGTTCTGAGGTCTTGGAGAGCTGCTCCTGTGGCATCTTAGAATAATGTTCTGACTTTTCAGTCATGTCTAGAAATTAGATGGTGTAAATAAATAGGCATTTTATTGTGTGATACATCCAAGTAGGTAATAAAAATATGTTTAAATGCATTATCTAATATTTATTATGGTTGTTAATCTTTAGAGACTTATGAAATAATTCTACTTTACATCTAATTAGCTTGTATTCTGCAGAATAGAATTCAGTAAAGTCAGGCTTAAATTTTGGGAGCAGAGGGGTATGAGCATGGACAGGGTGTGTGGCACCTTTTCTACATTCCATTTTGATAAACTATTGCAGTTTTCGTAACAGAATATATTATATATAAATCTGTCTGTGTCATTAGTATTTAATTATTTTAATAAGTTGTTTCCTTTTGTATCATAAATGGGGTAAATATAAGAAGGAAAAATGCAAATAGTGCATTACAGTATTTGTAACTCATTTGGTATGTTCCTTTAAATGAAATTTCAGTATTGTACGCAGGGTAGAAATACTTCTTTGATGATTTGTTAATAATACTTTCCTTCTTCCCAGCTGGATTCTGTCCTCCAGTAATATTAACAGCTGCAAGATGTTTCAGTGCAGAGTCTATTGAAGAACAGAAACAGAGACAGTATTGGGAAAGTTTCAGAATAAACGTTCATGATGGAATTATTGCAATTTTTTCTTAGCGTTCTCAGATTGATATCAACTGTTTTTCTCTTAAAATTTGAGTCTGTCTTTTTTGATCTCACAACTTGTGTTTGGTTTCTGTATTAACACATTTAAATCTTAGGCCATTAGTGGGTGTGTGTAGCGTTCAAGCTGCTTGTATCAACTCCGACTTCTGAATATATTTAGGAAGACTTTCAAAATTACATATGGTAATGTAATACGCAAAAGAATGGAAGTTAGTCGTTAAGATCAGACAAACATTTAAAAACTAAAACTAGTTGTTGTATCTTAGCATGTTTGAAGGGCCACCAATAGATTTTACGTGGCGGCTGTGGAATTTGCTTTTTTTTTTAGCAGATTTGTTACAACAGGAAAATAGTGTAGCAGTATGCAAAGCAACTGTCCTGTCTTACTCCTTCTGCTTACTGACACTGAAGAATTTTTGTTTCCTTTCAGATGCAGTTTCCACATCTGCTTACTCATCACCAGCCAAAAGTTTGGGAGACCCTGGAATAACTCCACTGTCTCCATCACATATTGTGGTAAGAAATGTACTCTTAACATACTGTTGATATTACTTTCTCTTGCCTGTTCAGTGTGATGTAATTTCTTTAGAAAGTTGTAATTTCCTCACATAGTGATCTCTTTGCTGCTATTCATAGTCTTAAGTGGAATTTTGGTCACATTGGAGTTGGTGACAGAGCTCTCATTCATTTTATTGGCATTCTGTGTTTTTTTTTTTTGTCTGCTTGCTCACCTGATAAGATTTATTCCTGCATATTTTTATAACAAACACAGGGGCTTCTTAATCCTCTGGGTTCCCAGGTTCTGTCCCTGTCACTAATTTATTTAGGCAACTCCTGAAAAGTCTAAATCTGTTCAGAAAAAAGGATATGTTGAACAGTAAAATCTGAATTCTCAGAGAAAGGAATCTCCTCCAACGGAGAGAGAGAGAAGCTCAAAATAGAACTGTTTTTGTTTCTTAAGGAAAATAGTAACCTCTGTAAGCTTTTAGAAACAAACAAATGTCCCATAAAGGTAGTGTTATTAATCTCTTATGCATCATGTTCATCTTGTTGACAGACTCCCATTAAAACTAAGTCCCATTTGTTTTTAAGATCATCTGCATCATCTGTAACACAGTACATGCACAGTGTGTTTCTTGATAGTGTGAGGGATCATCTTCAGAACGCTTGTCAGATTTTTTCCTTAGCTTTCTGTATCAAGTTGAGTTGTATGACATCCCTCTAAAGGATTTCCAGAGTTCTTGTAAATTTTTGCTTTTATTTCCTTCTTTCTCCATATAGTCTAGACCATCCCCCTTTTACTTCTGTCAACTGATGAATTTATATCCTCTTTTAGTTAGATTTGCTCCTTAAACTCTTTTGAGGAAGACATATAAATAACATGTTGCTCTAGTTGAAAAGATTTATTAGGAAAATCCAAACAAGGCTTTCATTATTTGAGACCAAACCTTATTACTCCCGTTTCTCCGTTTTAAGTAGCAGACCTATGGGATGATCTTGGAAAATGTAGGGGTACAATAGAAAGGTGCTGGAAGTAGCTGGCACAGAGATAACGGAGGTATGTGAGGAAGATGGTGGAACACTGCTCATAGAGTGAGGACATTTGTTAGTTCCTCTGTAAAAGACGATAACAATTGCCTCAAAATGTTATGGAGGGTATAGGCTGAGCAGCAGTGGTGGAGCATTTAGACATGACCTGTATAGTAGAAGGTCAACAAGTCTGTTCCAGAGTGATTTTGCCAAAATGACATGTGTGCAGGTGGGTGTGTCACCCTCTTTCACTATCCAGCTGCCTGTAGCACACAACCCTTTCACCAGTGTTTCCAGTTTGCTCTCCTTCTGTCGGGCTAAGCTCAGCGCTTTAACCACCATCAGCATGTGAACTGTAGTTCCTTGCTGTTCGTTACTTATTGCTCTCTTATATAAGATTTATGGTAGGCAACAGCATACTGTGGAGTGTTACATTTCCTTTTTTATTCATGTTGTGCTTTATATCACGTCATTATGACTTGGGCTGTAACCCTTCCACCTCTTCTGGTTAATGTTTCCATGTTGCCCTTGCCTGTACTTTTCAGGGATTGCAGGATTACAGGTGAAAGGCAGGGAGAAGGATTCAAATTCACCATAGGCAACTGAACAGCTTTCCCCTTTCTAAAAGCACAGGCAGGAGGAAAGAATGCATATAGTGCTTATAAAATAACTGTTTTGTAAATTCTTCATAAATATTTATCATGGGATGTAAAGCTTATTGCTGTATGTCAGGTTGTTCTGTCTCCACTGGTTTTGAAGGGTAGTAGTACCTCATGTTCAAGGTTATGACGTAGGTAACTCCTAAAACCACCAAGTAAGTCCCAAATATAGTCCACTGGTGGATATAAACATATTCTTCAGTTGATCAATTTAAGAAAAAGAAACCAACAAACCAGCCCCCAAACCAGTAATCTAGTGTTTGAAGAAAACTCTTGATTCAGAAGGTTATGTATGAAATATATAGAGCTGTACGTTAGATTTCCACTTCCATTGGAATGTGGAGCTTTCTGGTATCAACTTTGGTCACAAATGCAGCTTTAGAGAAGACCTTATTTCCACTGAAGAGATATGCACGTCTCAGAGAGCAGAAATGCTGAAGGGTGAGACAGGTTACAGTTATTCTCCTCAGTGACTTGGTGTCTGTTTTGCTTCTGCTTTTTGACAGAAGGACTCTGATGCAGATGATGCAGTAGAACAGTTATTTCTTGTTGTTGTGGCTATTGATTTTGGCACGACATCCAGTGGCTACGCCTACAGCTTCACCAAGGAACCAGAATGTATTCATGTGATGAGGTAAGGGCTGCAATGCAGCATTTAGTTCTCGACTGTGATAACACAGGTTGTCTGCAGTAGCTGTAGATATTTTCTACAGGTGCCTGAAGTGTCTAGATTAGTCTAGTGTTGCCACAGTGTACACCTTTCTCATGGATATAGGTTTTTTGTTGCCTCTTACTGTATTCTGATTTGCTTTCATAATCAATGTGAACACGTCCTCTCTTACTCTGCTGAGTTCACAAGATGACATGAGTAAAAGGAGGGATCAGTATGTAGAATTGTGCAGGGAGCGGTGATAATTATTAAGTCAGGATGCCCTTATCTCAGAAGTTGAAAGAAACTACACATTTATAAAGGGTCGTGGTGTTTCCCAGGAGCTGCCTGTCCCCTGGAATCATGCTTGTGCACAGTTGTGTGTACAATGCTTAGTTACTTGCACCCAGAAACTGGTAGTTCATTTGGGTGATTTAAGCTTTTTTAGCATTAAATTTGAATCAAATCTCTGATAATGAACCCGTGATACTGGGAAATAAGCAACCAAAAAGCATGAATGTGAAAATTAAAAAGTTTGATGGGAAATCTGTTCTATATTATAGATGTGTAAGGGACAGATTTTACATGCTGTTATGTAAGGGGTTTTGGTTTTTTATTTCTCGATTAAATCAACACCATGTAAATCTATGCATATAAATCTAATACAAAATCATAAATGCAAAAACCGTTATGGCAGGTACATGAAAGGATTGCCTTACAAACCTTTTTTGTATTTTTTTTTTAGGATTTTTTTATATCTAAAAACCTATACAGTTCTTACTAAAGTATATTTAAAATGACTATATTACAGGGAGACCAAGACACAGATAATTTCAAGATATAATAAACAAAGTATATATGAAAAGCTTAGCCATAAAAGTTCTAAACAAAGCTGCTGTTATAGCCATAGGTAATGTAGTGTTTGCAGCACTGTAATACTGAGAACAAAAGGGCAAAAAGACTAAGTTGTAGTGCAGTGGGATATGCTGTAGTTTTTCTAATCAAAGATGGTAGCTGAATGCAGCTCTCTAAATCTCAGCAGACAGTATTGATTGTGCAGTCAGCCTGCATAGTTGTTTTGTATACTTGCAAAGTATTTCAGAGATCTAATACAACTGCTGTCTAAAGGGATGTAAATTTGGGAATGCTATTAGGCCATCCAGTTACAAAGGCACCTACCATTTTTGGTGTGGACAAGTAATTCTTCAAGGCCTTTTCTGCATTCCATCCACCTATTGTTCAGCCAGCAGCACAGAAAGCTGCATGAGGCTAGAAGTCAAAGGACAGGCCATGTGTTGCTGTCTCAGACAGGTTACAGGGTTGGAACCCATGTTTATCAATTCCTGTTCTCTTTTGACAGCAAGTACTTTATCAAATTTCTTTAACAAGTTGAATGAAATGAGGAAAGACGTCTCTCAAGCTGTACTTGAGCAAGCCTAAATCCTGTACACTGTGTTGTTCCTATAACCTCTCTGCAGATTTTACTGTGTGAAATCCCTTCTGGTTTTAGGGATGTCCTTTAAGCCCTTTGAACTCAAAATTTTGCCTTAGGTCTTGATTTTGCCATTGGGTTCACACTACACTGCAGTAAATTACAGGCTAGATTCTCCTTCCAGGGTATGAGACTTCCTGCTGTAGATGACTGAGACACAGAAATCCAGGTGCGATGTGGCCAGCTGAGAGTGTGTTCCAAATCTAAATGACATTTTACTTCTTTTGGTTCAAAACACCGTCTTTTCTTCCTTAGGCAATAATGGTAGCATGACTGTGATTTCAGACCGTGTAGATATTGTATGAGATCATGCAGTAAAAATAAATGAAATAAATTAGTTCATCTATTTCCAGCAAGAAGGGAGGAACGTATTTTGAGATGAAAATGTATTCAAATTTCCAGCAGGTATTTCAAACAATGGAAAAGGTTTTGATACCAAGAATGATTTTTTTTTCCCCCCCCTGAATAAATATTGCTGGCAGGGAAGGATTTTGGGGAATATGTAGCTGAAACTGAATTATAATGTATATAATACACTTCAGTAAATATTATATACACTATGAAATAGTGTATATAATATTTATATATTTATTTTTATAGAAATGCACATGAAATCATGAAATTAAATTAAAAGAATGATACGTGTGTCAAAATAAGGCTTAGGTAATTCAGAAGGTATTAAGAAGTTCAAACTCTGTATATAATGAGGCTTACATGTAGGATAATTTACAAATATTTCAGCAGAGTAAATGTAACTTCCCGCCCGCACTCAAGACTGTTTACATTAAAATAAAGCATGCCAACGATGCATGGTCCTCTTTGCTTCTTAACGTTTTTTCCACCTTCCCTCCTTAGTGTTGATCCTTCCCAGACTTTTAGATTTCTGACTGCCTTTTAGCAAAGCTGCTTTTCTGTAAATGCCTCATTGAAGGGTAAGGTGGGTTTATTTAGAAGGTCCTACTTCAGAACAGAGTGAACAAACAGGGCTTTAGTACCCAGTTTGAATGTAGTGTCAGGAAAGTTGTGGTTCTAGGTGTGTAATTAGTAGACAAAGTCATTTTTTTGACTGGATGTGTTTATTTGCTATGATGCACAGTACTTAAAAAATGAATGTATAGGCATTGGCATAATGAATTTTTTTAAGCATATTCCTAGCTTTAAGTGTATGAATAGCCCCACTTACTTCAGCAGACTAAAACCTGTGTTCCTAGACGATCGATGAATGACTTTCCTCGATTGTGTAACATTAGTTACCGTTTTGTCCATTTTAGGCAATACTTCACACCTTTCCACTCTTACTGGCTCCCCATGGCCTCTGTAAGGACAGTTGTGGTTCCCTTCAGGCTCCTGTTGCAGAGTAGAAGTATATGTTACAGTGAGTGTTGCTTTCTGCATACTGTGAGCCTGTGCTCAAGCATACAAACAGCCTTGCCATGAGCTCAGCAAGCTCTGCAGCGGGCAGGACAGTGCCAGAGCGTAACAAAGGACAGTTCAGAGCTGTAGAATGAGTTAACATCTCCTTTGGAGGGAATACCTGAGGTCTAAAACAGTTTTGAAAACTCTTGATGATTGATGTGCGCTTATGTGAAGTTACACGTATTCTGGCTGCTGGTTAAATAGCAACAAACTGGATGTAAGTATTTCACAAATGGAGAAAAAATAAACGGAAGAATGAATGTGATTAGGAAGTAAATTGCAGCCTGTCTTTGGAAGGAGGAAGAATGTGGTCTTTTTTTTCACTGTAACTTTATTTCAACCCTCAGGTTTTTGCTTTTCCTTCTCTTCCCTGTTTGATTGTAATTCTTGGCGGGCACATGCTTGACTTTCTTCTGCATACACACTCCTAGTGACATTCAGCTGCATTTTGATGACCCCACTGCTTTGTTTCCTTGACTGTTATACTGCAGCTCTGGATCAAATTCTCATCACTCTGCATGGATCACTCTCTTCGCTCTGTCTGTTAGCCAGATTCCTGCGTAAGGAAGGGCATTTCTCTAACCTTAGTATAACCTTGTGATCCTCTCCGTGCTAACTTTCCTCTTGTCTCTATTTTCATTTTTAATACACAGTCAGATCCTCTGTGGCCATAAATAGGTCCATGCTGCTTTGTTGAGTTACTCTGCTTTATACCAGCCTAGGAACTGTTCTAATATGTGTGAACGTAGGCAGAAATCTACTTTAGGTTCTGCTTGAATAGATTTTTAGCTCTGACCCTGCTTTGAGAAAATATCCACCACATGCATTTAGAATTATTTAGGTTGGAAAAGACCCGTAAGATCATCGAGTCCAACCATTAACATAACACTACCACTACCGTTTAGAGAGTACTGCTGGTTTGTATTAGGCTGTGCTCTTAATAGGTGTTTCCATTTTTTTCCCCTAAGAGGAGCATTATTACCATCTTTTTGCCTGTATTGGGACCGTGAAAGGAAACTGCAAATGAAGGTGTTGAAATCCTAGACCTTCTAACTAGAAGCCTCCACTAACTGGAGTGAGGATAGGGCTCTACCTGAGAAAGTGTCCCAGTCAGGAGTTAGCATGCACATACCTTTGTCTGCAGCTGCTTCTCTCTAGAAAAGATGTCACGCAGGAATATTTTTAAAGCTCTGATTGCAAATGGTAAAGTCAGACTTCCCCTTCTGTTTCCTTTTTGCTCTTTCTGTGACTGTACAATAATACAGGCTGGGAACTTCAGAATGTGCTGAGCAATTACCGTGTCTAGTTTCCATCAGAAACTCATCAGGAAGTGAACCTCCAATTCTCTAGGTGGTTTTGAAAATTTCGATCCATACCGCTGAGCATCAATTTATCTTCATTTAAACTGCACTTTAAGCGTACTTGTTCCAGAAAGAGAAAATGTGCCTAGCCGTAGTGAAAAATAAAGAAGCATTGTTATTAGCCACTTCCTATTTATGGAATTTCCCATCAGTGACTCAGAATGAATCATTAATGATTCCAAGAGAAAATGATACCGGTCTGTCTCCTCTCTGCTTGCAGCAGGTGTGTGGGATTTAATGTTCTGGTGAAATAGGCAGTGTTCTCTGTTTGTGGGCTGTGGGATCCCAATTTCTTCACATTGGAACCATATGTGTGCTGTAACACCTACTCAGAGATTTTGGAGTTGACCAAGTACATTTCTAGCAGCAGGTTAGAAGAAATGACCTGGAGCAGAGCCCTTGCCAGCTGAAAATCGCTTAGGGACTAAGCAGTGGGACTAAGGAGACTGAGGAAAAATTTTTTCTAAGTGGATGAAGGTGGAAACCATTCCACTTCTCATCATACGGTTTCTGCTTTCAGAGCAGTGGAATTGCCCTCTGTACCGAGCAAATTCATAGACATGTGGTGATTCCCTGCCATCACTACTGCTGGTGCAAAAAGGGGCAGATTTTGCTCTATTGATTTAGTTGCATGGTCTGAAGGGTTCCCAGCACTTTGGAAGATCCTATTCCTTGTTATTTTGCCAAGTATTAACCCCTTAGATTGATATTCTTTGTGTCAGTTGTCTCCCTTGGTCTGGAAGTTGATTAATTTTCAGTTGGTTCAACTGTTTCTGAGAGTGAAATAGAAAAGGATTTTTTTTCTACATAATCTGCCTGTGTCACATAAACAAGTACCACAGAACAAGGCAATCTTTTTGTGCTTCAGATGAAGGACTTTGGCAGTAGTATATTGTGGAAGTGTGTTCTGCTATCTTTAGAAAAAAAACAATCAACATGTGGTTTAATAATGAATGCAGTTGCCTGTGTGATCTTAACTTGGCTCCTGTTTCAGCTACATTATGATTATGGCTGATAGCATAAAACAGATTTTCCACTGATGCTTTTTTAGGAAAATGTTGGCTAGTAAGTGTTTGCTTCACATGCTGAAAGTGCTTGTGTGGGGGGTGGAGGGGAACAGTAATGCAAGTTCCTTGTTCTTCCATTCTGCTTTTTTTTGTGGTGCAGAAGTGAGGAGAAGACAAGAACGCTCATGGCTTTCTCTGGGGTACAACTTTCTACTCTCTGACCTTGTTGGCCCCCCAGTTCCTGCTGTGTTTAATGGTTGTTCCCATATTCGATGTTCTTACTTATTGCCTTATCCATTCTGTGAAAGAAGCGTTGTGTTGCTTTCACCTTAACACCTTTGTGCTTCTTGGGTCTTCCTGAAGATACCTTCACAGTCTTGATAAGATGAGATGGTTTTATTCAGTTTTAATGGATGGTGATGAGGGAAATGGTTCGATGCCTGTAAGATACTTGGGGGTTGGGGGAGTCTGCCTTATTTTTGACAGACTAAAATTTTTGCAGCATTTTGGGCATTTAAAACACAAAATCCATCAACTTCAGGTGAATAGCGAGTGCAGCGCAGAGAGCTCAACATCTGCAGACATGTCTTCAGAGTTTCAGGTGTTCGGGAGATGAGGCACGTGAAGAGGTGTTGGCTGAGCTGGTTTGTCCTGCTTCAGAGAGCACTCCGTGATGGAAACAGGGATTTAATTGGCTTCTCCGCAGTGGTGTTCGGCTGGCTTAAAAGGTCCTTATTTCAAAACGGGGACGAAATTTCAAAATATCCTATACAAGTAAGCATACGTGAAGTCTGATTGACAATTGAGTAGGACACTTTGAGCATTCAGGTTTTCATGTGTAGTACTCTCAGCTAATTACTTGATTTTTTTTCCCACGATGTTTATTACATGTGCATGTTTACTTTGAAAATGTAAGTGTGATAGCATTTCCTTGTTAGTTGTGTGTGGCTCACTTTAAGGAACCTGCATTCTTGTCAATGACAGAGTACGATTATGTCCTTAAAAATCACACTACTAACGGCAAAATTTATTGAATTGTCTGAAATTAAGATTACAGTCCTCTTTTCTTGGAGGTGAGGAAAAATACTTGGGTTTAGTATTATAAGGATTGAAATTACTGTCTTTGGAGGAGAAAGCAGTGTGCACAATCTGCCACCAGATTGTTTTTCTCACGATGTGCTGTTTTTTCCTGCTGCTCTAAACATTATTATCACTCACTGAGACTGTTTCACTTGTTGAACAGACGATGGGAAGGTGGAGATCCAGGCGTATCCAATCAGAAGACACCAACCACTATCCTCCTAACACCGGAGAGAAAGTTTCATAGCTTTGGGTATGCAGCAAGGGATTTCTACCATGACCTGGATCCCACTGAATCAAAGCACTGGTTGTATTTTGAAAAGTTTAAGATGAAGCTACACACCACCGGTGTAAGTAATAACCAACTGTCTTGGATAATTGTGCGTTTGCTACTCAAATCATCTTCCTGTGGACAGTGCTGGATTTTGCCTAAAGATTGTGAGCTAGATGTGAAGCAGCTTCATTTCTAAGTTTAGAGAGTAAATAAAGTAAGTTAAATTTTTCAGTTAACATTATGATTCATTTTGCTTCTCACTCCATTTGGCAAGTGTACTTTGCCAGCTTTCTTTCCAGATCTTAGAAGTTCAGTATCTGCTTTGCTTAGATCTTCATGTTCTAATTTTCTTGAGTGAAATTCACAGCTGTCTAAGGAGTTTCCAGGAGGTCGATTTGTTCTATAAATTTCCTCAGGAAGCAGAAGTAGAATATAAGAGCCATACTGAACTCTAGTGCAGAGGAGCAAATTTACCTGGAGTTCATTGTCAAAACTGCAAATGCAAATCATGTTGTTAATTTGACATTATTCCTACTGATTATATTTTTGTCTTTGAAGTAAGCCATTCTAGAGTTTTGGGACTTGGCCAGTACTTTCTGTATTGAGGTGTTTTCTGGTTTCATATGTTGATGGGAAGCCAAAAATCTATGCTTTTGACTCTCAGGTTCAATATCTTGCACATGCAGCTTTATTGCAATTAATTATGAATACATTTGTTGTAATTATTTAATATTTAGTCTATATTTCTCTCTCTGCCTGCAGTTATTTGTAGATATGATAGGTGTTTAAAAACAAAGTCTAAAATAAGCAGCAAATGTCATGCTGCAGGAAATTCAATGGATGAGTTAGATCCTCTTCAGAACAATTTTGTCATTTTTTCCTAGCCAGGTGGATAAAGAAGAATTCTCTTTCCTCAAGCTGTGGGAATTAGTTTCATGTTTACCTTTTCCTTTTAATAACTTCCAGTTATTTCTTTCATGTAGAATCTTACCATGGAGACAGACCTGACAGCTGCAAATGGCAAAAAAGTCAAAGCACTTGAGATATTTGCTTACGCTCTGCAGTTCTTTAAGGAACAGGCATTAAAGGTAGGGTAATGGTTCCTTATCTAGATTTTCTGTATTTATAACTGGTATAAAAGTGAGCTTCACACTTCTAACCTTGCCAAGCTTTGACCTCAGTAGTATTTGATGTAAACAAAGCAAGGCAGCTGTAGAAACTCTAGGCAGGCTGTGGACTTGCGAGAGCGCACAATAGCCTGAAGTGATTACCCCTTGCTCAGGGGAACCTTGATTCAGTAGTAGTAAGTGTATCACTGTGATGCAGAGTTCTGAATATCTTCTTACTGGCTTAAGTATTTTCTATTGCTTTTTTCATGAAAAGAAAATGTGAAAGTGCAGGAGCTGAAGCTCAGGAATTATATTTGAGACTGGGTCCTGTCCTCATCCCCTGTGTTTCTGCTGCTGGGACGATGGATTGTTGTGTCCATGCAAGGTTCTCTCTCATGTTGAAGAGTTGGCACTGTGAAATGCGATAGGATGGGCACCTACTGGTGTCTCCTGCCCCGGCCTGACTTTTCTTCACTGGTTAAGCAAAGCTGGATTTATTTTGTAATAGAAAGATGATTGAAAGCTCATTTATAATTTGATTACTTGAATTTCACTGTAAATCTGTACAAAGACGACCTGCTGAGGTGTACAAGCTGGCTAACCTGGTGGAAATAGTGTAATTACACCGGTGCAGTCATCTGTGCAGGCCGTTTGGTTGCACTGAGAGGTTCAGTATGCTTCCCTGTGAGGAATTCTGCACCAGCAGAGAGAGAGAGTGTCCACTACCCAAACGAACTCAGGCACTTTTACACAACACTCCTTTATTCTGTCTGCACAGTTAAACCGTAGTGTGCGTGCCCAAGAGCCGCAGTTAGGCCGTGCTGTTTCGGTCCTCTGCTGACCCCTTGCAGGGGTGAATTTGATGTTGCTGTGCTGTGAGATGGTATTTGGTTGCTCTGATCCTGAATGCATGTTCATGTGGAGAATCTAACAAGCATTAGGGAGAACCAAAAAGTAAGACAGACATCTGTTGGAGTTTAATTTGTAAATTCATACTGTGTTCTGACGAACTGCTTCCATTTATGTTGCCTTTTTTTTTTTTTAACTTTTATTATTATTTTTTCCCTACTGTGGCTGATGTTGGTAGGGAAAAATGCATTTTATTTTCCATTTCCATTTGAAATGTTGCAACACTCATTTCTTGTACTATTCTTCTTGGGTCACAAGATCGTTTTTCGTATTCTTCCGTGAAATACATGTTCACAGTAAACAGTTTTGAGATTTAAAATATCATGTAATCAGTCAAATACGATTTAAGTACACATTGGCTTCAAATGCGCCACTATAATGTCAATGTAAGCGTAGTAGTTGCTGGGTCAAATCATAATATTCATCCAAGTAAGCGTTGTTTAAAATAGCCTTGTTGTTAAAAACTAACCTACTTTTCTAAATCAGTTCAGTTTATTCTCTGGGAGATCTCAGTCTATTCTTGAGGGCTACAGAGAAACAATCCTACTGGCACAACTCAAATCCCTCACCTCATCAAAGACTTATTTGACTAGATCTTGGAGTTGATTGTGGAGTCACAGGCTTGAACCCACGTGTAGTCTGGGGAAGTTCTTAGAGGATACGAATGCTGTTGGGTACAATCCCGTAGATTTGCTGCGCTGCCTGTTCAGGGCTACATCCTTTCTGGATGTTAATAAATAAATCCCTGTGATTTGTGAGTGCATGCTGAAACTAATTAGACAAGCAATGGAAACGAGCTGTTACTTTGGATATAATCTGTCCATTCCTAGTGCCCTGTGCAATATAAAGGTACTACTTTTCTAGCATGGATTTTGGAACTGCAGAATAGCTAAACAAACACAACACCTTGGCACAGCACATGCAGGTTTGGGTTGTTTTTTTTTTTTTTACATTCTAAAGGCCCGTTGTTCACCTTTCTGAACCTTTCCCTGTTTGGATGGAAATTTAGATAGGACATATGGTAATGACATTTTACTTGGAACCTTTCCCAAAACATGTCAGTATATCACCTAATTTGCAAATGCAATACAGACTTGCCTCTTTTTAAGGAAAAAAAAAAAAAAAGGACAATAAAAGAGCTAAACTAGTCTCGAATGTTTGCTTAAAGCAAAATTTTCAAGAAGTAATCAGTCTTTTTTTTTTGAAAGGATTTAACTCTAACTTCTCCTTGTTAACTGAGTTGTAAAAATTTGATTTAAAAGTAAGTGGTGTATAAAGGGGTCATAGAAAAATCCAGATTGTAAAACATAATGTTCATCAGTGATACCTCAAATATTTTTCTGTGTATTGATCCAGATCCAAGTGTGAATTCTTCGAACTAACAGCAAATCCCACACTGTGACTAAGAATGCGCATAAATATTCTGCAATATTCAGCAGCGCATGAGCTGCTTTTGGAAAAACTTAACTATTCTACTTCGTGTTAAACGGTAAACTTTTCTATAGGCCTCCTTGAGAAGGCATCAACTCTAATCCCAGCTTTTGGCACAGTAAAGCATTCTTGACAGATTGGCAATAATTCTGATTTGTAGCATAGATGTAACCAGAAAAAAAAAAAAAGAGAAAGTTACTGTTACTGAATCCAGCAGAAAATAATATTTTCTTGTAAGTTTGACACCCATCGTTTTGCTTTCACCTCTGTTTTCCTTTTCTGTAGGAGCTCAGTGACCAAGGAGGCTCGGACTTTGAAAACACGGAAGTAAGATGGGTCATTACAGTGCCTGCTATTTGGAAGCAGCCTGCAAAGCAGTTTATGAGGCAAGCTGCCTACAAGGTAAGATTACAAGCTGAATGTAGAAGTGCCCCTGAAAAGCCCTCGTTGATAGGCGAAATGATAAGCTGTACTTGCAGCAATCTAGTAGAAACTGTATAAAAATGATCTAGAAGAGAGTCAGACTAGAAACACTGGAAGAGAAGTGAACTCTACCAAGCAGTAGCTTTAAGTCATACATATTCACCTCTTAAATGCCTTTTTCTTCCTATTTACTATGTATATTGCAGTCCCTCTCTGCAGGCTGATGTTTTAGTCATCTTGTACATTGTATTCCTTATTCAGTGCACGTGGAACAGATGCAGTTCTGAGACCCAAGGGAAAGCTGATTTTAAAATACTGGACACAGTTTTGTTTTATTTTCTTTAGTCATCGCAGACTTTTAAAGTTTTAAAAAAAAAAAAAGAAAAAAGAGAAGGGAAAGCAAAGAGCCTCCTTGGTGGGACATTTTTTCCAGTTCCCATTTTTTTTTTTTAGGACTGTGAACTAGATAGTCTGGATATAAAATTAAATTCAAATGTTATTTTCACCAGGAAGAAGTTTATCTCCATTTAACCCTTTCCCCACAGCCCTCCCAAATACGTGCACTTTCCGAATACGTGACCTTTATTTCAAATGCAGTTTGCGTCTTTGATACATGAGATGTACACATTCTTCTTTTCATCAGGATATTCATTTTCTGTTTTGTTTTATTTATTTCTGGCCAGACTTGCGTAACCCATTGGCAGCAGCCATGCGATGCAGTTTCTAAAATCTCTAGTAGTTGATGAGTAATTTGCAGAGTGCTCCTGGGAAGCACCCAGATTTTTCTAACTCTGTTTCTAACTATCTCTAATGTTGAGCAACGTTTTTCTTAACAGTCTTTATTGTGGGATTGCTAATGCTAGTGCCAGAAGCAAAACACTCTTAAAGTTCTGATGGAAGGACACGGTTGTAGGTAAATCTGAAACACTAGAGACCCATTCATTATCTCTGTACGTTGTTGTCTGCCTGCTGTCTGTGTGCATGTGTGCTCGCCAACCGGGAGCTGTGTAAGGAGCAGGGCAGGGTAAAGTTAGATCTCTTGGCATTTCTCATTTGTGGCACAATGGAATGTTGTTAATTAGTGTCCGTGTCTGTGGTTGTGTCTGTGATTGTGTACTTTTATTGGCAAGCTTGATAAATAGCCAGGACAGACAAGGGTTTTAACTCGGGGTGTGTGATCAGTTGCAGGAAAACATGAGAGTTTAGGGAAATAATTAGTGTTTACTTGAAACACACGGTTGTTTGTTGTTTTTTGTTTAAAGTAGTGGGGATGAAGAAACAAGTGCAGAAAACTGAGAGTTCTGCATTGCTATTCAGTCTTTCAGATTCCTGTTGCTGGATCCAACTTGTTCCTCAAACCAGTGTGTACAGACGGATCAGAAGTTGTAGCCCTTGTTGCTAGCTATTGGAACACCCAGGCATCATGAAAATGAGAGCTTGTTGTCATAGGAGTATTCGGGGCATCGAGTAGAGAAAAGTGTGAAAAGGCAGTGGTAGAAATTCTGTTACTGGAAACAGCCTAAGGTACAACCACTAGTCTAAGTTAACTAGTAGGAAATGTTAATGACCTGTGGAAATCTGCTTGAGTAATCTGTGGCAAGCGATGTAGCTGTAAGAGCACAAAAATGTTAATGGGTTCAGTCATTGGATCACAAAGTAAAGCCCAGCCTTTCTGGAATGGTTAAGTTAGTCCAAAGCTAAATATTGCATGGAATTACTTAAATCAAGTAGGAAGTGTTGTAGATCTGCATCTGCACTCCGCATCCATCAGCTTTTGTACAGCATACAAGCTTCACGCCACTCTGACATCCCCTCATCTCTGTTCTGGCTTAAACAGAACGTTGCTAACCTGGGAATCTCAGTCTGCAGAAGGACTCTGCGATGCCCCTGTCCGGCTGCTGTGCTGCTTTCTCACTTGAATGAGTAATCTGGGTGTTCTCTTCAGCTCACAGGTCTTCCTCTCTTTGAAAATCCTACTTATTCTGCCGGCATGACAGCTTTTCCTTTCTCTACATACTGCTGAGCTCTCATCAAAGCTGTTGTCGATTTTGCCTCTCGGTCACTGCAACATCGTTTCCTTGGCTTTGGCAACTGAAACCTGGCCTGTTTTGTATCTCCTCAGAATACTGCCACTGAAGGGTTTTGTAGCCTCGCATTCGGCAAGGAGTCAACCTGCATTGCACTCCATCATCTGTGTTCTCTCAGACATAAGCTGCATGTCCTAGACATGAACATCTGTGATGCTAACTCATTTTCCTCCTGTGAAAACCTCTCTAGAATGCCATTTTTTTCACGCCTACAAAAGCTTGACCATGGTTGGCTCTAATGATATATGAAAGCTGCTCCTCATTGCCTCTTGCTGTTACCCTGCCTGCCCCATCCGTATTCAAGTATTGTACTTTTTGTATCCTTAACTCTTATTATTTGAGTTGTTACCTCTTTGAAACAGGTACTGAATCAAAATTACTTTCTTCCTGAATAACAGTCCACAGATGCTTCTTCCTTACCTTCATGTTTAATTCCTGTGTATCCAGATATAGATCTAAAGCTGTGTGACACCAGTTGAGGTTTGATCACATTTCGAGTGAGCTCTGTGGCAAGAGTAGAGCATCATCTCTGTAGGACTTAAGTTTCCTTTCCCAAAGCATGTCTACTGGGATTAGCATGCATTGTATCTGTGTTCCTTACATCCTGAATAATGAGTCTTAGGATGCATCAGTCAGGTTTCTCATTTCCCCCCACCAGTGAAATATAAGGCATCATAAATAGTGTTAACTTTTCTTGTTTCTGTGTCCTAGTTGTTCTGTCTCAAATTCTTTGCTTTGGTGTAGTTCTATCAGAAGTGCTGTATTTACCAGTCTTAGAAGGAATCCTGTTCTCATGAAGAACTCTCATTGTGAGTAATAAATTCAAATTGCTTATTTATTTTCTAATTTTGGAGACCTTGGCAGAGTGGTTATGGTTGGACAGGATGTGGGAGGACTCCATCCTGCTCATGTGGGTGGGACCTGCCTTTGTTCTTGTCCTTGCAAAAGCAGCCAAATGCAACCTGCACTGAGCCCGAGGTTTGGACCCCAACATGAAAAGAGGGCTTAGGTGTGGAGGCAAGCCCCTTCCTCCTCATGAACATGGCCTGGAGCTGACAGCGTCATCAGAACGGTGTGTGAACATGGACACAAAACCAGGATCCCACCTCTGCGTCAGATATCTGAGTTTGTGCTGACACAAGAAAATTAAATGTTTTGTTAGTCTTGTATTACTGATGACAAAAAAAAATTAAAATGAAGCATGTGTCCACTAACGGAGAGGTGAAGCTCCAAAAGTAATCAAGAACATTTGTGTAAAAATCCATTGAATCCAGGAAGACATGAGTAGTTGGTTTCTGTCTTAGCAGCACTTTGCTGTCTTAACATATTACTGTGAGCAGCACTTTTAATCCCTTATCCAAATGAAATTCAGGCACTGTAGATTGTTTATTAGAGGAACACAAGATCCAATATTCTTGGCAGAGTGTTTCTTTTTAGTAAAGGCATTCATCCAGCTCAGCTTGCAATACACATTCTTTGGGCACAGTAAGTGCAGAGCAGAACCTGCAGGCTGGAATTCCAGGAACATGCCAATAAGAAAAAGGTTTTAAGGGAGAGTTTGTAGTGTGAGAGGCACATATGAATGTGAAGGCTATAAAATAAGAAAGTAAAACATGGCATACCAAATGCACTCAGGGCAGAGCAAAAGGAAAGGGAAACTTGCCCAAAATATTCTGTGATCTTACAAATGTCAGTTAGCTGGTCTACTTACAGACATTGAGGGTTCTTTTCTTTTAGTATGAGCTGTTGATTTTGAAATGGAATTCTAGAGCTCTGATGTAGATTATATTCCAATTACAAATAGCAAATCGAATTGTTTACGTGGTGAGCTCGTATAAATAAACAGAGAGGCAGTCTAGGTTATAGGATTAAGCATGTGAGCCTGGAATTCCAGAGACTTTCTTTAACTGGCTCTTACACTGAGTATTTGTTAATATTTTCACATCAGTTTCATCAAGGAATGCATATGATAAGAATTATCTAATACATTATGTTCCAGGGTTATGGTGTGTTACATTGATCGGTACTGCCCTGCTCTGTTGAAACCTTCAGAGAAAAGTAAGCAAATTTGGTGAAAGAGGAATGTGGCGGCACATAAAATCCCTTGCTTATGAAAATGTGACATGGCGTATGTTAGATATTAAAAAGATGACTAGAGAGACTTAACCAGATCGATAGCTGTGAAGCTGAGGTGCACTTATGCTTTCAAAGTGTTTGGTACATCAGCCACACACGACTGAAATTTCTTTGTCTAGGCACAGTGTAAGAGACTTCTGCTATAAACCACGTAAAAATGCAATGATGTTCAGGTGTGAACAGCACTGGGGAGCTGGCGATTTGTTGGAAACAGTACTTGTTAGTGGAGGCAGATGAGGCATAAGTGTGTTAATGCATCAACCATCCTGATTATTTATAGCTTCTGGAGTTCTCTTGAGTCCTTGCTTTCACTTTTGTGATATTAAGATCTTTTTAATCATAAGGATTAAAATGTTTAGTAAGTGATATATTAGAGGGGATTCTGAATCTTGTAGTTATGTTTAATTAGGAAAGGATAGCTAATTGAGGAGGGAAGATTACAGAGTGGAAACTTGGCACAGTGGGAAATGTGTACTAATTGATCTTGGTTTACACATTTTAATTACCAAACCAGGTTCACATGAAAGCGGAGGCAGTTGACAAAGCCAGCTGCTAACCCAGTTCTCTACCTTTTCTCTTTGTCCGCTTCTGTGGCACAAGTTGGAATGTTTGGAGGTTTTGTTTTGCTAAGCGAGTAAAATAGGAGGTTTTTGTAGCATTCTAGGTACGAGTAGGTAGATGGATCTATGCCTTTCTTATAAAGCTGTGGAACATGTTTCTCAGGATCTTAGGAATTGCGTGAAAGGGCATGGAAAA